TTTGAAAAAAATTAATTGTAAAAACATATTTCAAGACAATTGGAGAAATTTGGTTATATAGGAAAATATCCAGATAATTTTTTAAGGATATAAATACTGACTGCTACAGGGGTGAAATAACAAAGTCGGGGTTTTGTTTTAAAATAATTAAGACAAAAAAAAAGTATAGGTGGAACAAATGTATTAAAATGTATTATAGATGCTTTATAATATATGATAATACAGTGCCATTCAAATATTCAAATGTCAATAAAATGACCTTCAAATATTAATTGAAATAAATATCAGTGTGAAAGAAATAGAATGAATAAAATGAAGAGTGCTGTCTACCTTAAACTCATTTCTTTTTCAGAACATTTCTCCAACTTTAGGAAATATCAGATCTCTAAATTCCCTATGTCTTGTGTTCTATAATTATTTAATTCCAGTACCCTAAGAGGATTTCTGAAGGTTTTCACAAACAAATGGGTAATATTTTTTCAAAGAATTTAGTGAAAAATTGTACAGAGTGATGTACAGAAAATAAACCCCAGATTTGCCTCCTTTGGCATTTGTAGCTAAGGATCATAAAGTCCTATTGTTCTAACCTCATTGTGGAGATCAACTAATGTGGTGATCAACTAATAAATGATAAGCTTCAGGCTCCAAGGATAGAGAACTGATAAAATTTAAGTGTTCTTTTTAGTATAGTTATCCTAGAATGTAAGGGATATATGAAAGTGGACATATGTGTACTTGATAGACAGTGATTTATAATAGAATAAGGCTTTCCAGTAAGAAGGAATATCCTTAAAAAAAATCTAGGCAAGTAGATTATCCACATGTACTTGGAAGAATAGCTTTAGTTGCACAGGGGGTTCATATAAGGAAGCAGGAAATAATAATTTAGAAAAACATGGCATGGCCATATGGGGCAAGCCTCAATTTTTTCTTAAGAAACGTGTATAATCCCCAATGTAGAAACGCCATGGATTCCCTGGAAAGAAAATAGAGGTGATGCTCGCCATAATATGAATTTGAAATTGGACTTGGTAATTAACCACAAGCAACAAGAAAAAAGTGAAGTTGAAATGACTCTAAGATTTTGAGGTAATCACAACAGCAACAAAAATCATAGCTTGCACCTAACTTTAAAAAAGAATAGCTTTCCTCCATTTACTTATCAAACATTATTGTGCTAAACAACCTCTGCTTTGAAATGTAAATATTGATGATATTTTATACTTTTCTTCTGTACTAAATAGTGGGAAAGAAAAAACAAGGCAGTTCATGTTTTCTTGCTGTTTTCTTTCTTGGTTTTTTTTTTTTAGTCAGAGGTTTTCCAAATAATTTTTGAAGTATGTAAAAATCCTGAAATATCACCTATCCAGATCTGGGTTCAGACATAGAAGATAGTTTTATTTCTTCCAATAATGACAAAAACAACACTAAATATTATGTTCATTTCTGTCCCTAATCTGGTATATGTCTTAAACAAAACTACTTAAAATCTGTGAGATTCACTTACTTCTATGGGGCTAATAATGGCTTAAGTTTATTTAAGGAATAAATGAGAATTTATATATACACTGGCACAAGTCTAAGTAGCTTAGAGTCCAAACCAGAGTAGGTATAGCCTTCCAACCCACAGTAGATACTGTGCTAATGATAGAAGTGATGAAGTTGTAAAAGGGAGGTCAATGTGAGAAAATGTAAATGAAGTCAAAATTAGGCAAGTGGACTTTTCCTTCAGAAACCAAGCAAAGAGCAAGACAGCTTTTGTACTAATAATCAAGAAAGATTTGCTGAACACTCTCCTCTACCAGGAATGAAAATAAAACAATTTTAAAGGGCATGAGTGGCAGAAATGCAATTCATTAAATGAAAGTAGCATCAATGTAATGAACTGGAAAAGAGAAAGAAACTAAAAAGGAGAAAGACTATGGAGTATCAGCAAGAATAGGATGACGAGAATTATTTTACACAATTCTCTAGGAAGGCCAGGAATTCCATATTCAATAGATCTATCTGTAAACTCTATTCCCTCTCCCTACAAGACCAAACTTGAATGAGGAGAAAAAAAAACAAAAAACAAAACTTAACTGAAATCTGTGAAACTCTTAATGTGAGTTTTCCATTACAGATTTCCTGAAATTTCACCTGCTTGTCCACTTGGACATCAGGGCCTTTTCACAGAAAGAAAGACCAGAGACTAAACTCATTTGCAATGACTTCTGGCTTTTCCATTAACTATTGAGAACTATCACTAAAGAAAACAAACCTGATATTCAAGGAAGTCCATGATTATTCTCCAGTATGTGTTTCAGGAGGCATGTTCTCAGCTAACCCAAGCTCTTTCTTCTGAACCTTCTTTCCAATGAAAAAGGCAGCTCACTTACACTGCAAATCTGAATAATCTATTTGTTTAAAAACATCTGGGGCCTCAAGCATCATAGTTAATGATTTTAAATGGCAAGCCAGAGTTCTTGCAAATCAAAATATCGTGAGGGTACAACACATTTGGGCTAATAATTTGGAGACGTTTTGGCCCTGCATTTATATGAGTATCTGAACAATGATTGCTTAATCTTCACAAATTTTTATCAATGGCTGAGAAATAATTGTAGAATACAGATGAACAGTACTCACACAATTAGTAGCTGTATCATGTTAGCAAGTGATCTAAACTCTCAGGGCTTTAATTGAATTGTCTTTAAAATGAAGACAGTTTACATCGTTGAAACTTCAATGCAATAGTTCCAAACAAAATTCCTTCCGTATTTATATGTCATATTTGGATTTATATATTACCATTCACTTAGTTCAGAAGAGGAAGCTAGAGAAGAGATATATAAAAATAAATTTTTTGCATTAATATTATGGTATATGAATTGGAGTGGGAGCTGGATGTTATCATGTCAAAAAGCGAAAACTGTTGATTAGAAGTTATTTTGCTCACTCTCTTTGTCTTTTTTTTTGCGCTACGTGGGTCTCCCACCGCTGCGGCCTCTCCCGTTGCAGAGCGCAGGCTCCGGACGCGCAGGCCCAGCGGCCACGGCTCACGGGCCCAGCCGCTCCGTGGCATGCGGGATCCTGCCGGACCCGGGCACGAACCCGCGTCCCCTGCATCGGCAGGTGGACTCCCAACCACTGCGCCACCAGGGAAGCCCTCTTTGTCTTTTTTGAGAGGGTTAATGACAGACATTAGCTTGCTCCAGGCCACGTAGCTGATATCAGAGATCAGGGATTCAAACTTAGAATCCAGTGGTCTTCCCACTTCTGAATTAAGTTTTTTAACTCGGTCTTTAATTCAATCATCTAAGATGGTATCTTTGAACTGTAGCATCTCTGGCAGGGGTTACTGTGTTTGTCCTCAATTATTAATAGAACTTCAGGGTCTGCTGCTTACATATCATTCCTGGCTTCTCTTCATTTTATCTCTGATACCTGTGAAAATAATCATACTGCCCAAAATTTATTTAGAAAGTATTTTAATTTCATAATTAAATGCTCCACATAATTGCTCTACGAGGAAGGCAAGGAAGATATTATCACTCCTGTTTCACTGAAGTTAAATGATTTTCCCCATGTTGCAGAGAGACCAAGTTTCCTGTTTCTAATTCTAGAGTGATTTCCAACACCCCGAACAGCTGCAGGGACACCAAGATGGATGACCTGCTTCCACCAACCTGACACGTAACCTCTCTACCACCACAAACGGGCAAAAATTACAAAGAAGTTGGCAGCCTGAAACATATAGCCACTTCTCTAAAGAACATAAACATAATTATATAATAAATTACACACTCACTTAAAAATCTCATTAAGGTGTTTTGAAATAATTTTACTATTTCCAAATAATGTCAGGTATAGCAGAGGATGGGGAAGGAGAGAGGTGATAAGTTATTGGGTTCTCAGTCAGACAAATTCATCATAGAAGAACCAAATATAACTCTTTCCCCTTTGGGAGCTCCTTATCTATCAAATGATGCTAATTCAACTTGACTAATAACTTCATTCTCAAAGTTTGTTGGTGAAGAATGGTAGTCCTCATGAAAGAGAGTCAGAAAGGACACTGGCTGCTGCTTTATACTCACTAAGTATGTTGTTTAACTTATTTAGCGGATAAGTAAGGCTATTCAAGTTAATTCATATCTCAGAACTCTAATTTTATTTTCTAAATGCATTAAGATTTGTGATAGATTTTACTTTATTTAAAAAAAAATACTAAAAGTATATTCCTAACAATCAGTTTAAAACTTGAAAGTATATGTTGCCTTGTAAAAAGAATTTCACTTTTCTATTCATTTTTATTATTATTCCAGAAAGACTGTATCTGTATTTATTGTGGAACCAAAATTGTCAGGGGCTTCTCTTTCATATACTTTACTTTTCTCTGCTCGTTCCCTTATGAGCTACATGGTTACTTCTGCACAAACATTGAAATAAAGTGAAAAGATAATTTTGGTGAAGAAAAAGAATATAACTGCACATAATCTGCCAGACCTCCTTGATTTTAATGTGAGAGTTATTATGGATTAGGCTTTTCTAAGGCAGTGCCCTCCTAAATAGTTCACTGGCAGGAGAAGTTATAAAACAAAACGAAATCAATTTCCTTGAAGATGCCATTTATTATGAATATGAGACTCCTTGAGGTTGAGTCATCCTGTTTTAATCTCAGTGTACTTTTGATTTTTATTATATTAATTTGGAAATATCATGATATTAGAGTGGTTCAATAGATCCCTGACTCTTCTTGGTGAGCATCTGACAAATTCTCATTAGAAGAATAAATGAATGAATGAATAAATCAATGGCTGAATAAAATCTTTACAATTATTTTTCTTTGAAGAAAAAAGTAACTTCTTACTCTGAGGGGAAAAATTCATATAATGTTTCTTGTTCTGTGATTTTCTTGTTATTACTTTTGCTTTTCCAAAAAAATAAGAATACAAGTTATGTCATAGGTCCAGAGGTCTGAATTTATTCTAGGAATAGACTCTAAAAGCATTTTAGTTTTTCTCTTTTTTATTTCTCAAGTTAGTAAAACTTACAATCTACTGTTTAAAGTCAATCTGATACATTTTAGCAGTGTCAAAGAACATACAGAGCAAAGGCCCAAAAGGCACATAGAACTACATAGTTCATCTCTGGGACCTATGACAACGTGGGAAAACGTAGTTTAAAACAGTGCCTTGTTTCTGACAAGAAGAATTAGAAGCAAATTCTCCCCACACAAGCTCACCTGCATCATCATCTGTTTGGAAGAAAAGCATCTCCTGAGGAAAAAAGAGAGATTGAACTCTGACAGCCTGAACCATCTCTGTGCCATACCTACCACCATAGAGTTTCAAGGATATTCACACATGACCGATGTGCTGGGGCAGCCCTGAAAAAGAACAAAGGGAAGGTGGAACAGAGCACAGGGAAGTCTCGGTAAAGGAAAAAGGCCACAGCTAGTCAGCACTAAGCAGAAAGATCAAAGGAGTATTGGTTTTGCATTTAGGAGAGTGCTCATAGAGAAAAGAATTCTGTCCCAGACACATTTGCAGCATATATGTTTCCTGAAGAATAATAGCTGTGTATGTAATTTGAAAGACCTATACCACTGAGAGTTGTAACACATCAATGCTCAAGCACTTGCCTGAGCTTTGCTGGGAGACATTTAGGCAGGCAAACTGCTGAAATGTTCCCCTCCTGTCACCAGAGCAACATTGGCTTCAGCAAACTGATAAGTATTTGCGCTGAGAAGCAGAAGTCAGCAAGAGGGTCATTGCACAAGCAGAACTCCTGAAATCACATGTGGGCAATTGATCTGTGCTCGAAGCCCAGCTGCTGAACTCATGGTCATCAGAGGAGGTGAGTTCCTGATTCACTGGCAGGTACAACTAACAGTGCGAAATGACCAAGACTTACATAAACATTCTTGAGTTTCATGGAACATGTACTAAGGAGAAGTCTGTGGAATACTGGATTTCTTATAGGTAAACCATACAAAACCTCAGAGTCATAGTAAAGTGGGCATTAATATACATGGGGCAGCATTAGTACTTGTGAAGCATGATTCATTCGGATTATATAGAGATATTAAGAGAAAATGGGAAATGGCAAAGAAGAGTTATTATATCTTGGCCATATAAAAAGACTTTAGGTGCGGTTGGCACTGAACCAAGGACACGCCCCCCTCAAAAAAAGAAAACAGTTAACTGACAGGCAGAGGTGAAGGAGACGTATTTAGGCTGAAGTCTTAAATAAGCAAAGACATAGAAAAGAAAAGTGGAAAGGGTATTTGTCAATGTCCAGAAACATTTGTGATTATCACAACTGGTGGGGTGGGATGGGAGAGTGTGATCTTGGTATCTACTGAATAGAGGCTAGGGATGCTGCAAAAATCCTTCAGTGCATAGGACAGTCCCCAACAATAATAAGTATCTGATCCAGAATGTCAGTAGTGCTGAAGTTGGGAAACCTTGTCCTAATGCATTCCCTTCCACTGGTGTAATAAAATATGCTAGCTCATCAATGGGGCAGTTTTAATAATTGCACTTTTACTATATACCAGGGCTCTCTGTGCACCACCTAATACCAGTGATGAGGGCATTATTGTGAGCTGGGTGATGAGTCCTCACCATCTAGCTTTAAGGTCCCATACTGGTGTCTACTTTTTCTGACCACTTCTGCTACCAAATGTTGCAGCCTGGGTTCCCTGGGAAGCATACTCTGACGTATGGGGCATACAGAGATTAGTGTGCAGGAAGTTTATTAGGGAGTGTTCTTGAGATCAACCCCTGTGGAAGGGAAGGAAAGGAAGCAGGATTGGGCTGAGAGAGAAGCTAAACTCTGACAGTATCAACAGAGGTTTCAGCCAAAATGCTTAAAGTTTTGAAATTGCGATGAATGTTCAGAGCTGTCCTGAGATGAGGTGAGGGGAGAGGACTTTCATACTGCATGTAATTAGTTATTGGAAACACACTACTTGAGGAAGAGCACATGACCTTGGACCAGGTGACTCTTTTCAGACTAGACAACCTCTTTAAGGAGTTAACAGCTGAAGATTTTCTTCTGATCATATTTCCAGAAGTTGGAGGAGTGAGTTCCGTTTTCTTGAAGGGAGATTTAGGTTGTAAATCCCTGTATCAGTGACTATAGACTTTGTCCTAGGTACGTTATTAAAAGGTGTTCTTTTCCCGTAAGTTTGTTTAAATATAATTAAAAACATTAAAATAACTTTTGTTTGCTTCCTCAGTCTTCTTTTTCCTTTCTTAAATGCGATTCATTCAATACTGAATTCCTGCATTATGTTTACTCTTCTCTCTCTTGCTAAGGGGAGGGAGGGACCCATCTGAAAATTCCAACCATGTCTGATTAATCTCAAACTTATATTTCCATCTGTGATATCGTGAGCTCTTAAAACCCTCGGAATTTTCTAAATAATGGGACTGATCAAGGTGTCTTTTTTCATGTCAGATCTTTAGACTCCCACCTAAGAATGAGCGCTGGTTGCCAGGAGAACAAACCATATGATTAAAGGGTTGAAACTTTCAGTCTCACCCCACCCACACCTCCATCTCCAGAGAAGGGAGAGAGGCTGAAGATTGAGTTCAGTTGCCAATGACCAATGATTTAATCAATCATGCTTATATAGTGACGCCTGAATAAAACCCCACAAGGACAGGGTTCCGAGAGCTTCCAGCTTGGAGAACACATAGAGATTGGGGAGAGTGGGGCCTGGAGAGGGTATGGAAGTGCCGCACTCTTTCTCCATACTTTGTCCTATGCATATCTTCCATTTGGCTCTTCCTGAGTTATATTCTTTTATAATGAACTGGTGATATAATAACATGTTACTCTGAGTTCTGTGAGCTGCTCTAGCAAATTAATTGAACTCAAGGCAGGAGTCTTGGGAACCTCGGATTTACAGCTAGTTGGTCAGAAGTATAGGTAACCACCTGAACTTGCCACTGACATCTGAAGTTTGGGGCAGGGGGTAGAGGGGCAGGTGGCAGTCTTGTAGAACTGAACCCTTAACCTGTGGAATCTGATGTGATCTCCGGGTAGTGTCAGAATTGAGTTAAATTTTGGGATACCCAGCTAGTGTCCTGAGGATTGCTTGTTGGGTGGGGAAGTACTCCCACCCACTAACCCTCCTGCCCCTCAACACACTGAAGTTTGTACCAGAACCAATTTACTACCTTTGAACACTCTCCTATATCTCCAACTGCACTGAATCTTTCTATACTAGTGAAAGAATGCAAGAAAAGGCAGCCCCGGACATTTAGAAGCTTGCCCGGCACTCACAACCAGCCATGTTATTCTATTAAATATAAACAATTTTACTTATCATAAACCCCAGAGAAGGTTACATTCAGACCATGATAAAATGAGAAAAAGTATGGTTATTTCATAATTATGTATAAGCACAAACAAAAGTAAGGTGACTGGGCCACCCACAAAATACCAAATTTCCTCTTTCTTGGCCTAAATGAATAATTGCTGTTTCTTTACCAATCACAATTTTATCATCGTTCTAGTCTCTTTTCTATATAGATATGACTTATTAAGGTACAATAAAAGAACTGCTCTTCTTACTAAAAATCCCCACTTCTTCCTACCCTCTCCCAAGTCTTCTTCCAAATCAAAGCCTAAATCCTATACTTTAAGATTTTTTTCTACTACCCTCTTGAGTCAAACCATGATTCCTCATGGTTGTATTCTCCTTCACTGTGATAAGTAATAGAACCAACTTGTTCAATACAAGTATGTTCCTAGTGGTCTTTGGCTGAAGAGCAATGACGATGGATAGTTTGCTTATGCCCACTGATGCCAAAACCTAAATTGCTAATATAAGTCCTTAAGAAGAGGGACCTTTTTATGTCAGAAAGACCACTGAAATTAGATTCAGAAAATCTGGCTTTAGATTCCAGGAATATATCCATAAAACCAAAAATACTAACTTGAATAGATATCTTCACCCTTATGTTCATAGCAACATTATTTACATTATTCAAGACATGGAAAAAACACAAGTGTCCACTGATAGATGAATGGATAAAGAAGTTGTGATATGTATGTGTGTGTGTGTGTATATATATATATATATATATATATATATGTATATACTCACACAATGGAATATTATTCAGCTATAAAAAATGAGGAAATCCTACTGTACAACAGCGGTTGTATGCATATGTTCAAAAGGAATCATTTCCCTATCTGTTCATGTTTCTGAGTTTAGAACAACAAAATGAATGTAACAACTTTAGAGAATCTTTGGATAACTTTATCCTTTACCATCCTCTTCTCAATTTTATAGTTGGTAAACTTTCTGAATATATTGAAAAATTGAGCTTAGCATTCTATCACTGATTCCCTTCTAGAAAGAAATGTCTTGAAGTTTAATGTGTATTTCAGATTCTTCTCTATTCTAGTAAATGAATAGATATCTAATGTGAAGGCTTGGAAATGTGTACCACATAAAATGGCTGGAAAAATTTAACAATGAAATAAGAGCTAGAGAGCTCTCCATAAAGAGAGAAAGTTACATGGCTGGCATTTCATCATATTCTTTTCCTTCTATCTTGACTATTTTTCTTGAGTTCAACTCTGGCGTTTGCTGAGAGAATCATGTAATTTACATTGACTCTCCTGTTCCCTCCCACAGCTAATTCTATCTGATACAGTAATATGACTTTTATTTTCCAGAGAAGCAAGAAGTAGCTTAGAAGTTTCCCTCTTAACTTCCACTGCTTGTTTTCTCAGAATCTGAAATGTATTGTGCATGCAGGAAAGATTAAACGCATTAGAGTTGGCTGCCCTTATTATTTTCTTAAAAACAAAAGAACACTTGAATGTTCCATATCCTTCTAACTTTCCAGATGTTTTACTACTGTCTTCCTTTCTTTCTTCTTTTATGTTACTTCTTATGAACTCATCAAAATAGCAAACAGGAACTTACCCCAAATGATCTTTCTTATATACTTTTAGACCATCAATTAATATTTGCTGCTGTTATTTTTAACCTACTATGCATCTGAAGGTTGTGCAGTTGGATCTAGATGGATTAGTAGTTCCTAAATCTGGCTGCATCAATATAGGGTGAAGCCTAAAATGTTTTAAGCTCCCAAAGTCCTTTTGATGTGGAGAAAGTCATAGGAACCAACAGACCAGAGGACTTTTAGGTTCCTTTCCAACTCTGAGATTTTATGATCCTAAACTCTCAGCCTATGGCAGCGTTCATTTTAAAATGTAAAATTATTCTTTACTGTGATATACAAGTTTATGACTTCTCTTTCAATGGGGGATTGCATAGTTTCCTGGGCATCACAGTGTTTTGAAACAGATACCTCAAAGTGCTTATGATGTATATGTTTTAAAATACTAACTGGAACACAGTTCTGAGTTTAATAGTCACTATATCTTGTTCATGCTGTGATGGTTCATTTTAACAAATACTTTCACAGTTCAAGCTCCTTGTATTCAAGGAATTACAAGGGATGGAGATTGGGGATAATTTAAAAGAGACAAAAATCATAAATTTAAGATAATTATTTTATGTTTTTGAGAATGCTCAGATATCCTAATCCAGCCACTGAAAGTCAACCTTTGCCTAAGTTTAATTTGTCTCTTTACAATGGTTATTTCATTCTTATTAAAACCTATGCAATTAGACATTTGAAAAGCTTTTCAAAGTAAAATTTAGTTCTGTATGGAAACCACCCCTAATCTCCTTTGGGATGTGATTTCTCACTCAAAACTTCAGCATGAAAGTGTATCATACTCCATAGTCTCTTTTGACACGCTTACCTCATTACCTTGCTCTACTGGTACTGGTGGGCCTGACTTGCCTTCCTTCTACAGAATCTGTTCTTTAAAAAAAGGCACAATCTCAACATTTAATCCCTTGGTTCAGTTAAACTAAAGCAGGAGCGAGGTTCTCATCTGAGTATCTGAGTTCTGTGAATAATTTCCTGTGACGCTCTCAGAAGTTCATTCAATACATCAGTCAAGGCTCTTTTGTCTTGCAAGCAGCAGAGATTTAATACGACTAACTTAAGCTGAAAAAGGAAATGACAAAATATTTGATAGCTCCAAGAAAACTGGAAATCTAGTTTTAGAGATTATGAGACCAAAACAAGCCTGAAGTCATGTCACAGAACGATTCTCACGAATATACTGTGAGAAAGCACAGATTCTAACACCATCAGTACTCAATTTATTTCCACTAGGACACCTCCCTTGCAAGAATGGATTCCTCATCTTTCTCATAGAATTAGTTTCAGAGTACAGACTTGGATCAATACATGAGGTCCTGTGCTCATACTTTAATCTCTTTAATAAGGAAGCCTGAGGAAATCCGTATTTGGGATTTTTTTGGCTTCCGCAGCAGGAGAAGTTTCTACTTTATGAGAGGGAAGGTTTCCCAGACATAGGAAAGGAGATATGATTTTGGGTGGCAAAAAAACCCCTACTTTAGACATCCGCCTTAACTGTCCAAATTTAACATACTTCGTTTTTTCAAAACAAAAATAACGCATCCACCATAGTGTGTCTATACCTTATGCAACAATACACTTCTGCTTTATCATCTAAATTCTATTTTCAGTTAGGATACTTTTGGGTATGAGTAACAAAAAACTCAATTGGCATAAACCATAGGAATTTATAAATTTATAGAACAATAATTTTGGAGAATAAGCTGTTTGTTAATTCAGTAACACAATGATACAAGATAGAGGAGAGAGGGAGAGAGGGAGGAGGAAGGAGAACAGTTTTACCTTCCTTATCTCCTCATCTCTTATTATTGGGAGAAAATTATTTTCCAGAACATTCCAACAGGCTTTCTTGTGTAAATCATTGACCAAGACCATGTCTTCTGCATGTGTCTAAATTAATCACTGGCAAAGGAAATGGGATTACAATGATTGGTTTAGACCCCTGGGGCAGTAGAGGGTTCATCTTTCCTGAGCATATTGTTATTTGATAAATGTAAACAAAAAAATAAATAAACCAGAGTTCTGAAAGGTAGAATTGCTTCTTTGTAGGCAGTTTCTGCCGCAATTGACATTTCAGTTTTTACAGTTTCTTAAATTATAAAAGAAATATCTGGCTTAAATTATCTCTAAATTTTCTTAAATGCTAATTTAAGCAGGCTAATTAAGAAAAATACGTGAATATTCTCTTTAAAGGTCATGAATATATAATGAGGGAGGTAGAGGGAGATAGATTTATAACTCCAATTCAAGGCAGAATGAATTACATACTTTATAGAGACACTGGTTGTAATGGGATCACACTGAAGTGATATATTAATTGCTTGTATGTAGTAATTACTCAATACATATGGACTAAAGTGAAAATTTATAGACATAATATATTTCCATTAAGTGTATAGTATGAAAATCTAATAAGACACTAAAAATTACTGACTTGATTGGGATTAAAGGATATTTTTATGTTTTCCATATTTTGCATTTATAAAATAACAGATGACAAAAAGGATTTTTTTTTTTGCCACAAGTATTTTTCTTAAAGTTTACATTCACACATTCAAGAAAATCTAACCCATGTTGCAGACTGTTCACAATAAATTTACACTTATAGTGGTATATTATATTATACATTTGAGTACCTAATGATTCTAAGACTTTGGTTTTATTTCAAAATAATAACTTCATTCCTAAGAAATTTGTAAAAGACTTTAGAGTTTACAAACTGCTTTCCCATTCACTACTTCATGTACTTTTAAAACTACATTGTAAGGCTGATAAGCTGATAGTTTTTTTTTATTATTAATTTTTTATTAGAGAGGACACAAGTAAACAAAACCTAAGGTCAAATAACTAGTAACTCACAGAGTTCAGTGATTAGAACTCAGGTCCATTGACTCCTCACTGTGCCACCTAATTTGTTTTTTTTTTTTCAAAAGAAAACAACTTTCAATACCAAAGCCTTCAATTTGATTAAAAATTCATAAATAGCTGCAGTTGGATGGGACTTTTTCTTTCCTTGTACTGTGTGCAAAAAATCAATTATCTATGTTTCACTTTAAAAATAGGGTAACCTAGTAGAATAATTTTCCTTAAAGGGAGTGTTAAATCAGTTAAAATTATGGTTAACAAAATATAATCTCTAAAACTCACCAAGGTGATTACTGGGTTGACACTGTAGTATGAAGGAAGATAACTTAGACTGATTGGTAGAAGAATGAGGTTCACACCAGAGTCCTTCCACTGACCACGTGGAAGTCATTTTCTTTCTAGTGTTAGACAAGGAGTATAGCGTTAGATAGATTGTTGTCATGTTAGACAAGATTGTCTTTAAGGTTCTTTATAGCTTTCATAGCTGTTTCCATAGATATAAATTGAATAAAAGAAATCAAAGATTCATAGAATATTGAAACCAGAAGGGACTTTCCAGATAATTTATTCCAATCATTATTTTAGAGATAAAGATACCTTTGTCTGGAGAGGGAAAGTGACTGATCCATAGTCACATAGAAAATTAGCATGCTTTATTCATCTATTTATAGCTGGCAGAAGTAGCTTAGTAGGTGTTACTTGTTCTTCTCTCTAGACTAGGCACATATCTAAGATAAACAGAAGTTATTAGCCTAGTGGTAAGTGTTTATTACTAGGAATAGGGCCATAGGTTTTACTTCAAAGCAACTAACCAACTGTATGGCCTTTGACAAATCATTTATTTGTCTTGACTTCAACTTCCTCATCTGTAAAAGAAAACACTGGAATAGATTAGGCACACATATGATAAGAATTTTTATGAGAATTCCATGTATTCATCTATTTATTTAAGAAGCATTTATTGAGTGTCCAGTATATGCCTGGATTGTCCTTGGCTCTGTTCTGGGTATTGGGTTTGCAAAAGCAAGCAAAGTACACACGTTCTCAATCCTGGGAAGATGCAATCTCCTCTGAAAGGAGGAAATTTTTTTTCAAAAAAAGATAAAGAAATAAATAGATAAATTCAGAGTGTAATGCTAGACATTTTAAGGGACATCAAAACGCATGGGTCAAAGATTTGTGACTCATGAAGATTTAAAAGCTACTAGAGGGCTTCCCTGGTGGTGCAGTGGTTATGAATCTGCCTGCCAATGCAGGAGACATGGGTTCAAGCCCTGGTCTGGGAAGATCTCACATGCCATGGAGCAACGAAGCCCATGTGCCACAACTACAGAGCTTGTGCTCTAGAGCCCTCAAGCCACAACTACTGAGCCTGCATGCCACAACTACTGAAGCCCACTCACCTAGAGCCCATGCTCTGCAACAAGAGAAACCACCACAATGAGAAGCTCATGCACTGCAATAAAGAGTAGCCCCTGCTCGCTGCAACTAAAGAAAGCCCACGCGCAGCAACGAAGACCCAATGCAGCCAAAAATAAAATAAAAAAGAAATAAATTTATTTAAAAAAAAAAGCTACTAGAGAACAGAAGCTCAAAGGAGGTTCTACATTGCTTTTATAGAATATTGTATTGCAGGAACCTAGCATATGCCTGCAAATAATAAGTACCAAACAAAAGATTAGCAAGTGAATAAATGGAAGAAAAAATAATATTTGAAATGTTTATGATCACAGTTGTTCTTCCTATATTTAAGATTCCTTTTATAAAGGAAGTAAGCTGTTGAATTTGTGGTTTGAAAGCATTAGTTAAACTTTAAAAAGGATAGCTTTACTGCTTGAGAAGTAGACCTGGAGAAGTAGAAATGAAGGACAGTTTTTTATGTTCTTATTTTACATCCATATCTATCTCTATATTTTATTCATCTCTTTCATCAGAAATATTGATGTTTCGGAAAAGGTTATTTGCCTTGAATTTGTTCCATGCCATTTTGTTTTGTCTTGGCAGAGGGATGAGTGCCTTCTGATGATAAAAATATTAACTAAAAGCAAGAATGAATCTCTCACTCAAAGACCATGATATTAACACTTTAGGAAATTTGTCATGCATATTTGCAAGGCAAGACATATTTTGTTCCTTTGTGATAACTGGAACTGCTATAAATAGAGGAAATATCCTTCACTGTGAGATTATAAAAGTTTTGTATATTTGAAAAGTTTAAAGTAGAGGAATAAAGTATAATAAAAGGGGAAAAATAAGCACATAACCATACTCATTCTTGTGCAAATTATAAACCACAAAAGAAAAGATCAAGTATCTCATAAATAGGGGAAATCTCAGAGATTTGCCCTTGATATTTACTATTTATTAATTAATACTTTGAAGCATGTAAACTAAGATATATATGTATATGTGTATCTATCTATCTATATTCCTAAAGTGCTACACCTTTTATGCTTTTGTTAAGCCACAAATTTTCCTTAAGCCATGAATTTGAAGGAATTTAAGTTTCATAATTAGAATTTCTCAAAGTACACACTGTTGGTTCAAAAATTCAGAAGTTCCCACACGAAATCTGAAAGTATGCACCTCCCAGCCCACCCAGCCCAAATGTGGAAGACAAGGAAAGACAAAGAAAGAAGCAGATTACTCCAAATTGGTAGGTAACAGGTTTAAAAAGCAATGGCACTAATGTATGCGACTTGTCTTGGGTGATGCAAAACAAGCTGGTCTCTGCATCAGCCTGACAGAATCTTAAAAGTTTTTATAGAGAGGGCTTAACTGGGTTCAGTCACATACACAGTCCAGATGGTCTCAAGAACACATTGCTCTCTCAAGGTTGTGTCTTTGAAAACTGCTGCCATTATGGGAACACTGGGTTGAATGTACATCCCAAGGGGGGAAGAGGTGAGAAGCTTCGGATTGCCTGGGTCCAGCTCTCAGGTCAATCAGAGATCATGTCCTGTTGATGACCTCCTCCAACATACACTTCAGATCAAATATAAGTACAGCTTTTCAAAGCATATTGTAACTGTGATTAAGCCTTTTTCATTTCTAACAATACACTGTTATCATCCCCAAATTTCAAAGCATTTATTAAAACCAAGGGTAAAGGAGGAGGAGCTTCAAGATGGCAGAAGAGTAAGAGGTGGAGATCACCTTCCTCCCCACAGATACACCAGAAATACATCTACACGTGGAACAACTCCTACAGAACACCCACTGAACGCTGGCAGAAGACCTCAGACCTCCCAAAAGGCAAGAAAGTCCCCAAGTACCTGGGTAGGGCAAAAGAAAAAAGAATAAACAGAGACAAAAGGATAGGGATGGGACCTGCACCTTGGGGAGGGAGCTGTGAAGGAGGAAAGGTTTCCACACACTAGGAAGCCCCTTCGTGGGCAGAGACTGCGGGTGGCGGAGGGGGTAGCTTCAGTGCCCCGGAGGAGAGCGCAGCAACAGGGGTGCGGAGGGCAAAGCGGAGAGATTCCCGCACAGAGGATCAGTGCCGACCAGCACTCACTAGCCCAAGAGGCTTGTCTGCTCATCCGCCGGGGCGGGCGGGGTTGGGAGCTGAGGCTCGGGCTTCAGTCGGAGCGCAGGAAGAGGACTGGGGTTGGCAGTGCAAACACAGCATGAATGGGGCTAGTGCACCACAACTAGCCGGGAGGGAATCCGGGAAAAAGTCAGGAGCTACCGAAGAGGCAAGAGACTTTTCCTTGCCTCTGTTTCCTGGTGCGCGAGGAGAGGGGATTCAGAGCGCCTCTTAAAGGAGCTGCAGAGATGGGCGTGAGCCGCGGCTAAAAGCGTGGACCCCAGAGACGGGCATGAGATGCTAAGGCTGCTGCTGCCGCCACCAAGAAGCCTGTGTGCGAGCACAGGTCACTATCCACACCTCCCCTCCCGGGAGCCTGTGCAGCCCGCCACAGCCAGGGTCCCGTGATCCAGGGACAACTCCCCCGGGAGAACACACGGCACGCCTCAGGCTGCTGCAATGTCATGCTGGCCTCTGCGGCCGCAGGCTCACCCCACATCCACACCCCTCCCTTCCCCTGGCCTGAGTGAGCCAGAGCCCCCGAATCAGCGGCTCCTTTAACCCCATCCTGTCTGACCGAAGAACAGATGCCCTCAGGCAACCTACATGCAGAGGCGGGGCCAAATCCAAAGCTGAACCCTGGGAGCTGTGCCAACAAAAAAGAGAAAGGGAAATTTCTCCCAGCCTCAGGAGCAGAGGATTAAATCTCCAAAATCAACTTGATGTACCCTGCATCTGTGGAATGCCTGAATAGACAACAAATCATCCCAAATTGAGGAGGTGGACTTTGGGAGCAATGATATATATATTATATATATATATATATTTCCCTTTTTCTCTTTTTGTGAGTGTGTATGTGTATGCTTCTGTGTGTGATTTTGTCTGTATAGCTTTACTTTTACTATTTGTCCTAGGTTCCTCTCTGTCCATTTTTTTTTTTTTTTACTTAAAATTTTTTTCTTCATAATTATTTTTTATTTTAATAACTTTATTTTATTTTATCTTACTTTATTTTATCTTCTTCTTTCTTTCTTTCTACTTTTTCTCCCTTTTATTCTGAGCCGTGTGGATGACAGGCTCTTGGTGCTCCAGCCAGGCGTCAGGGCTGTGCCACTGAGGTGGGAGAGCCAAGTTCAGGACACTGGTCCACAAGAGACCTCCAAGCTCCACGTAATATCAAACGGTGAAAATCTCCCAGAGATCTCCATCTCAACACCAAGACCCAGCTCCACTCAACAACCAACAAGCTACAGTGCTGGACACCCTGTGCCAAACAACTAGCAAAACAGGAACACACCCCATCCATTAGCAGAGAGGCTGCCTAAAATCATAATAAGGCCACAGACACCCCAAAACACACCACCAGACGTGGACCTGCCTACCAGAAAGACAAGATCCAGCCTCATCCACCAGAACACAGGCACTAGTCCTCTCCACCAGGAAACCTACAGAACCCACTGAACCAACCTTAGCCACTGGGGACAGACACCAAAAACAACGGGAACTATGAATCTGCAGCCTGCGAAAAGGAGACTACAAACACAGTAAGTTAAGTAAACTGAGAAGACAGAGAAACACACAACAGATGAAGGAGCAAGGCAAAAGCCCACCAGACCTAACAAATGAAGAGGAAATAGGCAGTCTACCTGAAAAACAATTCAGAATAATGTTAGTAAAGATGATCCCAAATCTTGGAAATAGAATGGAGAAAATACAAGAAACATTTAACAGGGACTTAGAGCAACTAAAGAGCAAACAAACAGTGATGAACAACACAATAAATGAAATTAAAAATTCTCTAGATGGGATCAATAGAAGAATAACGGAGGCAGAAGAACGGATAACTGATCTGGAAGGTCATAGTGGAAA